TTGTCATGTATTCTTCAGGTTTTCAGACCAACTAGGTGTCTCAGTGGTAAATATTCACATGAGCAGCAGGTATCTCTTATCAGCATACAGATATATAAAGTACATCAGTTTGACTATTGTGGGGTTGCGTAATATTCAGATTCCCATTCTACAAACTATGAATAGTGATATTCAGTGTTTCACTTATTATTTCTCTACTATATCTTAAAGAATCTCAGCCCTACAAAGTAAACCAAACTAAGACATTAATGTCAAATAGATCAAGGCTACTTTTATTATATCAGCAACAGCAGCAGAATTTTGCAAATGCGAATGTGCTCCCTCCTGCCCCCCCCCCCGCTTCCTTCGTTTATCTTCAAGTGAACTGAGAAAGAGCTTGCTTACTTCCTTCGCCCAGGCTTAAGATCCTCTGACCTGACCTCTCCTTCAAGGCCGTTCCCTCCGCTCTCTACAAACAGAAAGCAAAAATGGAAACAAAAAGTCAAATAATGTTAGGACTGTGCAGAACTAATGCACAAATAGGGAGCAAACTATCCAAAGCTAGTATTGCAACTATTTTCTCCAATTACAAAACTTAAAATTCTGTGTGGAAGAGGACCCTCCTTTCCCTGCCCCCTTCTCTCCCTTCCTTTCTTTCCTGAGCATGGGGGCATCTGCATACAAGAAGTGGGAGATGCTATCCAGAGAACTATGGGGGAAAGACCAGTAATGTCCATTGTGGTTTGTTCTGATGATTAGACAAGATGGATTATAGAAAGAAGATAGTTATGTTGTCACGATAGAGTCCCATTCTCAGTTTTTTCCTTCCCTCAACTGTATCCTGATGTTTTAGTTCTAAATTGCTCTAGACTGTAGATTAAATTGCCAAATGTCTGGTTTTTGTAGTACCCTATTTTCAACAGCAGAATGTTAACCAGAGTTATATATAAAACAGACTGGAAACATTCTAGGTTTTTAATATAGCTGTTCAATCGCATCTGTCCCCTGCAAATTAAAAAAGAACAACAACATAGATGCTTTTATAACTATTAATGATTTTCTTATCTCAGTGCCTCAAAATTCTGTAAATTTGGGGAGTTCACATCTCTTGTGAGCTCTGTTGAGTTTTAAATGTTTATTCATTTAATTTGCAAATACTCTTACATCTGTCCCCCTTCGTGTCTGGATGTGTCTGTATGCATGCATATAATACTAGGAAAAATACAATTCCCCCCGGTGACTACAGGGTCACATCCATGTCATTTCCTAGGAAGCAATAGGAGCCCTCACTACCAACCGTCTTCTTTTCAGATGCTTTCTAGGTGCCTCCTGTTTCTCCATCCAAGTTCAAACCAGGCCAATTTTTGCTTAGTTTCTAAGCCCTGGTCTGGTATATCATAAGCATCTTTATTCTAGAAATTCATTGTCTTGGTCCCGAGCTGGTAGATCTGAGCTGGAATCTGAGCAGCTTCACAGCAAGCCAGACCATCTCAGCTCATTATCTCTATCGTGACCTCAAGCGGCTCTCCAGGTTTCAGGCAGATGTTTGATACTTGAAAACGTTTGAGCTGGAACTGGGGAACATCTGTATACCAACTCTGCAGTCCGCCACTGAACTGCAACCTTTCCTTACGTTCAGGAGCAAAGGCATGGAGGTGGTCCTCAACTTATCACCATTCATTCATTGACCTTCTGAAGTTACAACAGCACACAAAAAAATGACTTACAACCATTGAACACCCCCAAGTTTGAATTTGGGTTTTACTGATTAGTTGGGTTTGTCACAAGAATAGTTAGTTTACACCAGGGGTCTCAAACCTTGGCAGCTTCGCTGGCTGAGGAACTCTGGAAGTTGAAGTCCACAAGTCTTAAAGTTGCCAAGGTTAGCAACCCCTGGATTACACTATGATGGAAAAGTAACAATGTTGAGGTTTGATGCTATTATCTTATTCTACTGCATCAAAGAGAATCAGAAGTTGACACCTTTCCTTTCATTTTTTCCCTTCCATTCTCTCCCCCTTATTTTCCCAGTGTATTGTGGTATTTTAAATTTTAAATTAATTTTTAGAACCCTAACCCCACAGTCGCGTAATCAAAATTCAGATGCTTGGTAGCCAGTTCACATTTACAACGGTTGCAGCATGCCAGGGTCACGTGATCACTATTTGCAACCTTCCCAGCAGGCTTCCGGCAAAGTCAATAGGTGAAGCTGGATTCACTTAATGGCTGTATGATTTACTCAACAATTGCAGTGTTTTCCTTAATAATAAACATGACTTAACCATCTTGCTTAGCAATGAAAATTCTGATTTCATTTGTGGTTATAAATCAAGGACTACCTATAAAGCATTATTCGATAGAGGGACACAAGTGGCTTAGTGGCTAAGATGTTGAGCTTCTCGATCAGAAAGGTTGGCAGTTCGGTGGTTCAAATCCCTAGCGCCGCACAATGGAGTGAGCTCCCGTTATTTGTCCCAACTTCTGCCAACCTGGCATTTTGAAAGCACATAAAAATGCAAGTAGAAAAATAGGAACCACCTTTGGTGGGAAGGTAACAGTGTTCCGTGCACCTTTGGCGTTTAGTCATGCTGGCCACATGACCACTGAGACATCTTTGGACGATGCTGGCTCTTCAGCTTTGAAACAGGGATGAGCACTGCCCCCTAGAGTCAGGAACAACTATTACATATGTGTGAGGGGAACCTTTACTTTTACCTATAGAGGGATATTCCAGGCTGTATCAAGTAGTGTTAAGAGGGATCAGTTCCTATCAGTGTTCCTTCATTGTAAGCCAGAATACGAATGTTAAAAACCCAAGTGAGACTCATTAAAAGCCAATACAAAAATTCTTACATTTTCTTCATTTGTCTTAGAGGCTTAATTTGTCTTATTGTGTTGAGGGTTTTTGTTTTGTCCTGTTTTTAAAGCATTTTCCTACGTGCAGGCTGTTTAAAACAAAGAAACCTCACTGATACTTCATATATTAACTCTGTCTTAGCAAATGTGTTTTACTGCATTGGCACATTTGATTACTTCTCATAATTGAGAAGCGTGTCACTTAATTTAAAAGGTGGAAAGGAAATGTACCGACTTTACAAATGAGTTCCTGGAACTGTTTCCTATCAGAGACGTTTTCCAACACGCCAAATAATATGCAGCTTCATTCATGGCTGTCGTGTGACTCAAGGAAGTCATTTGCACTGGGAGAAATGAATGTAAAATGGATAAATAATGTTTCCTTCCTAACACGGAGACACCTCTGGGCTCTTTCGTGCAGCTTCTTCCAGGCCAGATGCAAGAAAATGAGTGAAACAGTCCCGGAATGAATTTGCTTTACTAGGCAGAGCTGCCCACTAATTTAGATAAATCTTAATATAACTTTACAGAACGTGAGCAGATGGGGAGCATCAAACCCCAACATAGACATGACCAGGTGAACTGAAACTACTGATTTGTAAGTCACTCGGTATGGCTGGTTTTGCACTGACATCAAATCCCTGACTGTGGCATATGACACTCTAAGCAGGCGCCTTGGTGGTGAAGTATTTGTTTAGCCCTTCCATGGCTAACGACGGGTGGAGAGAGAGTCATCTGTGGCAAGGATGAATTTAGTTCACCCTGCAAGGAAAGATGCAGCACTGATCTCAGCAGCTGCAGTAAAAAAAAAAAAAGATAGCAGAAAGCAAGAGTGATTTTAACGGTAAACCTCTCTTATATTGGAAGGAAGGAAAGGAGGAGTCAGCATACCGGACAGAAATATTGGTAGCTGGGTTAAACCTATGAACTCTGGGGTGGGGTTTAGTAGAGATCAAGAAGAATAGATTTAGTGTTGGCTGAAGAACAGTTAATTACAAAGTGGTGGGAAAGTCTTTGAAAACAGCAGCTGGGTGCCACGGAGAGCATTCCTGGAATGGAAAAGTGAGGGACACCTGTCTTTTGTTCCCCATTGCATCTTAAAGCTCCCAAGATGCCTCCATGCCTTTAAGAAGTCATAACTCTCGGATGGCAGATCCTGCCCCTGCACTGTATCCTGTACGGATGCTAAACAAAACCACGGTGCCTCTTTTGCATCCGTCTGAGCCAGTAACTACAGACTCCGACTCTTCCCTTGCAGTAGGATCCCCCCTGTGCAAGATTACTAAACAATTTCTGAGTGGTGTGGACTCTCGCTAGGATGATCTTTCTGAATCCTCCTCCTCAATATGAAATATCACTTTAAATGTAATCTGGACAAGCCAGCAGCCTTTTTGTTTCCATTTAAACAGACTGAACGTCTCTGCAATGGCCTCCACCTTTTCCCCCCGTCTTTGGTCCCTTCTATCCTTTTGTATATATCGCAATTGGGCCTGAAGTCATAGAGAGCTGAATTATGACTAAGTATCCTATGCAAAGGATCAAAAGCTTAACAAAGCTGGAAGGGTACGGGAGCCAATAATTACACTGGTTGAGATAAAGCCTCCATTTCCCCTCTTCTGCCTTCCTAGTCTGAGGATGTAGCTATTCCCTTATCAAAGAAGAGCTCAAAATCAAAAGGCAATTGTTCTATATTTCTGCAGTTTCCTAGACACTGGTGTTAATGACTTCAGACAAAGCCAAGGGTTAGCAACCAGCAGAAGCAGAGCGAAGGGATCCCTCTTCTTTTCTTCTTAAGGCTCCAGCTGAGGATAAATCACCATGTTCCAGATGAATCTGTAGCTTTCTTTTCTTTTAACATTTTGCCCTCAGGTATCGTTTTCATCAGACACAGAATAATGAAATTATTGATATAGTTCATATTTCTTTGTAACTTGAATATATATGTTCAAGTTGGTCTTGTTGTATTCGGGTCTTTTCCCATGTAAGAGTGAGATTGTCTTGGCAATGTTTCAGCGAGGTCTCATACATACATACATACATACATACATACATACATACATACATACATACATACAGTAATTTGAATATATGTATGTATGAATGTATGTATATATGCCAAGAAACGAAATGTGTGAAATAATCCAGTTCTTTCTCTTTTTTTGCAGGCATTCACTGTGAAGATGACATCAACGAATGTCACGCGAACCCTTGTCAGAATGGAGGGACCTGTGAAAATTCCCTTGGGAGTTATACCTGCCATTGTCTCTCTGGAGAGAAAGATGGGGTTTTTTATGGTGGCCAGAACTGTACAGAAATCCTCTTTGGCTGTGTTCAACATACATGTCAGAATGGGGGGTTGTGTATTCCCCATTTAAGGAATGGACAACATAGATTTAACTGCATATGTTCAGCTGGCTACACAGGTGCACACTGTGAAACCACCACAACATTGTCTTTTCAGGGAAATGGGTATCTTCGGGTAAAGAGCATTGCACCCTCCTCCCAGGACTATTTTTACAACATAAACCTTAGTTTTTTGACTGTTCAGCCAACAACTTTGATATTTTACCGAGGGGACAAAGACACATTTGTGAAGCTGGAGTTACAGAATGGCTGTTTATACTTATCCCTGCAAGTCAACAATCAACTGAAGGCCTTTTTACATATAGCCTATAATGTCAATGATGGCGAATGGCATTCAGCGGAGGTCACCATAGGCAGAGCAGTAACACTGACGTTACACAAGAGCTCTTGCACAGAATCCTGTCTTAGTCAGACGGCTGCCATAGTGGATAGCAGGCAGGCAGTGATTGCTTTTCGAAACGTATTTTTGGGTGGCTTGCCGGTAGGGAACAATGGCTCTCTACTAAACATCTATAGTACACATTCTGCACCTTCATTTGTAGGCTGCCTTCAGGATGTAGAAGTGGACTTCAGCATTATTATCCCGGAGAACTTATCATCCGATACATTTTTAAATGTCCAATCGGGCTGTGTTAAGAAAGATTGGTGTGAGTACCAGCCTTGTCAAAACAAGGGGCATTGCAACAACTTATGGCTGAACTATCAATGTGATTGCTACCGGCCTTACGCTGGGCCCAACTGCGCTACAGGTAAGAACGTTATCTCAAAACTAGGATGCTTCAATATAATTGAAATTGTATTATCAGTCAGGATTTTTCAAGCTGTGTTCTGCAGAAGTCGAGGTCCAACTAAGGGATCCCCTGGAGCCAGTGTCAACTGAACAAGCGATATTTCTACCACAATAGCTTTGCCTCTTGATCAGGGGCTCCGGGAATTGTGTTTAATTTAAACTGACAATTCCCACAGCCTGAGAAGGTTTGCAAACCTCTGTTGTAAGCCTACTGTAGGGAGACGGCAGAGTAACATTGGAAATGCCGTAATTAAAGGGATGGTAGCAGTGGTGGGTCCTACCAGTTCAGACCGGCTCAGCTGAACCGGTAGTGGTTTGGCGGCCTGGGACACTGGAACTGGCAGCCACCCAGGCCTGCCACACCTCGGAACCGGTTCTCTGGGCAGCGCCATAGGTGGCACCATCTTGGTTTTTGCTTCTATGCATACGCAGAATAATTTTTATTGAACTGCGCATGAATGCGTGAGCACAAAATGCCCACAAGCATTTGCCCACAAACCGGCAGTAGTGGCCCCTGGATGGTAGCATGGCATTTCCACTGTATTTGTCTTAATATAAGTGTACAGGGTGATACAGGCATAGGTTATATCAATACAAATTAATATACTGCCTCTCTTTTACATCTATCTTGGGCATATCAATACATCTACCTTGAAGTCACCAGCAATTAACCACAACCAATTCAGGGTATTTGTCTATGTGATATGTACATTAATGAATGAAAATGGAAAGGTACTGTTTTACTCTTTTATGGATTTTTTTTTATATCTGCAACCTAATATACTGAGTCAAACTTGTTGCATAACTGAGGAAAGGCCACCAAAAATTCATATGAGACCCAAATACCTCAGATATTCTTGAAGACATGACATGTACATGTATACTTGGTTCAAATATGTTCTCACTGAAGAAGCTTTCCTAAGTGGTCATTGTCACTTATTACTCTGTGGAATTCCTTTAACTGTATGTATTTATTTCTTTATTAAAGCTCTCTCTCTCTCTCTCTCTCTCTCTCTCTCTCTCTCTCTCTCTCTCTCTCTCTCTCTCT